GCGTTTAATCTTTAGGTTAGTGAACTCTGTCATCACTAATAACAAAAGTAACAGCCTTGATTAGACAGTAATTACATTATACGTCGTTTGTCTATTTACCGTTCATTTTCTAGTCCCGTTTGTTTAAAAAATATGTAAGTTTCATTCTAATTTCTCTGCCCAAATCTGGATATCTGTCTTCAACTCTGTTAAAGTAACCCCGCTTTTTCGATTTGCCTTGTTCTGCCAGAATATCGGCGATCATGGCTCCCCATAATTTCCTATTCTTTGTAACTCTAAACAATCTTTCTCATTGTATGAACCCTCCCTGTCCCTGTTCTGCAATCCATTTACACTAGCTCGTTAGGTAAGTTACACAGCGTTTCCATCTGCCCCCTCCCTCCTAATGTCAAATTCTTCAAGCATTCTTTCTTCTTCATGTGTCCTAGACATATCAACTATATCTTTCTAGTTATGAGCACAGGTGTATTTTTCGCTTCCATTTTACTTAAACATTTCCTATTGCTCACATGTCACGTTTATGGCATTCTCAGTATTCTCCTGTAGATGCAATCCTCTGTTACTTCAATTTTTCTATTCGTCTGTGAGGAAAGTGCCCAGTATTCACTTCCATATAGAAGAATTTTAAATTACATAGCTGTTGTGCATGCTCTTTGTTTCTAACGACATATTCCTGTTTCTTAATATTTTATTTATTTTTTCTAAAGAGTCTTTCGTTATTCCAATAAACGTTCGGATTTCTCTGTCATATTTTTTTATCGTCTCTTATAAGCATTCCGAGATATTTGACTTTTTCTGCGCTTGTTTTATTTTGACTTTTCCGATATATAACCCGCATCTTAAACTGTCCATCTTACTGAAAACCATACATTATGTCTTCTACAATTGTAATTCTTGTTACATTCTTTTGTTACCTTGTCTAGAAGTACCAGCAATTTTCTTCTTTGTCTAATCTAAATATTGTGTAATGTATGTCTCTTATGTTGTTAACTAATAATAAATGTTTAGTTCCCTTTAAATCGCCTCGTTGTCAAGCTTAAATGAATGTGGCAAGAATAAGTCTACTTGTCTTATGCCCCTTTCTAGTTTCGTATATTCATTGTCTATCCGTATGTAGGCACTTTTTTACCCAGGAAATGTTCTGGATGTTGCTAATATCTTTCCAGAATAAATTTAATTTCCATTGGAGTTCAAACACTTCTCTGTATCGTACCTTTTGTTCAATCTGGAATCGACGAGCCGGGTTCAAATTCCAGTCGAGTCTGTTGCATTCAGTGGGCATTATTGCCCCCGGAATAAAGAATATATTTATTATTGTAAAAAGATACAATAATTGTGGCACAAGGCCAAAGGTGAATTGAACAAAAGGCTGGTCTTCGCTAACTCTTCTAGTCCTAGTTAATCAAAATCACGACCCATTCCTCTAATATAATTTATACATTTACCAAAAGAACCCTAACCCTCACCACTCAATCCTACATATACCGCAATACCAAACATTCAAAGGTGACCTACAAAGAACCCATGGTTTTAAAAATCTCATGAAAGTTCATAATGTCTCATTACAAAAATAGCCGCCGGAATAAAGAATGGTTCTGTCTCTTCTTCCCTATTCCAGTTTGAAACTGTATAGTAAAGCTGGTTTGGTCGTTTATCCTTGTTGGTAGCCAATCACGTAAAAAAATAACTTTAAATTCCTTGGGCATATACGAACCGTAAAACTCAAAGGCATTTTTTTATATCTGAAACTGACCCTTCACCATGCATTCTAGATCACGCCTTGCCTTGATTATGAGATATCTCTAGACAACGGAATGGAACAATTTACAGATAAAATAAAGTGCTCATTTGAAATACCCTGAAGGTTACCAGTTAGACATACACTTACATGTCTTAAATGTAAATAATAATTAATAAGCTTGCCTATCGTCTGGTTCACATTCCTCTCCGTTTTTATTTTAACAACAGTAGTGATTTATCCCTTGTTTCCTGGGCTTCTTATTCTCTTTCACATCCAGCTGCTCCTTGCATCTGAGTGGCATCACCGCTTTAATTGGTATGAATTGATTAAAAGAATAACCTCCACACTTCTCAGAAATTCAGACAGAAACAAATCAGTAAAAAAATTTTAAAAACAAATTAGAATAAAGATTAAATCATTCAATAATTAAAAATTCTTCCTTTAATTAGCCTTTTTTCATTCGTACATGTTAGCTAATAATAACATGTAGAATTGGATATGGTTATAATGAAGCTATTTATTTGATTTAAAAATGAAATCGGTCACCTCATTAGAACTAAAAGTTATACAAATCTTATAGATTGTCGAAAATATGGTTTATTAATAGGACTGAAAAATTAATTTCCTTTATCGAAATTGGTAATTTAAATTTTATGAATTTTAAAATAGGTTCTAATTTTTTATTTAAGCATTAAAATTAGATAAATTTCAAATTCTAAAATTATTTATGTATTTGTTTCTCTTAAAGCCATCTTTTGGCTGTGGAATAAATCGACATATTTTTTTAAAGTTATCCTCTACATAATCAAAATCATCTGTGTCCCTTTTATGCACCTGAAGTTAAGATTAGACATATTTAGTTTGTTCGTTCAAAAAAAGACTAATTCAAATCAAGGAAATGGTAAACGAGCAGTAATGTCGGTAGACAACGAAAATTAAATCAATAACCTTTCCTAAGTATATCTTCCAGAAAGTAAGCAAAGTATTCAGACAACAAAACAGAAACAAAGAAATGACTACTGAACTGATATATAATATCTTCTCTCCAGTATATCAGTGAAGGATGGACAATCTCCGCAGAGATGAAGAAGAGCCTTCATGCAACAGAGATGTGGGACAAGTGATTAATACTAAGAATACCATGAACAAAAACACGAAAGTAATTTAAAGAAAATAGCAACTACAAGGAAACCGATATTTATAACCAGAAAAATTGATTGATTGATTTGTATTTTGCGTCTTGTCAAAGTTTTGTAGTTTACTTAAAGTCAGAAAATAATTTTTATACTTTGCAAGAAATTTTTCAGATAATACGGATTTATTAATAAAGTTCATAGCTGGAGCGATATTAGGAGAAATCATAACTTTCCCCAAAATATATACGCATACGTAATTATAACGAACTCAACTGGAATTGGAACTCGATTCGCCAATTTCCAGTTCTGAGCCGTTGTCCGTTACACCAGTGTAGACCTCTATACTTTTAGGTAAGAAAGTACACTTACATGTCTTGACATAAGAAATGAGTCTTTTATGTTTTCACATGAGAAAGGAGTTTTCTCTGTCTTCACGTAAGAAACAAATCTTCTATGTCTGCACATCAGAAAGGAGTCATCTCTGTCTTCACATAAGGAAGGAGTATTCTTTGTCTTCACACGAGAAAGGATTCTTCTCTGTCTTCACATAAGAAAGGAGTCTTCTTTGTCATCACGTAAGAAAGGAGTCTTTTATGTCATCACGTAAGAAAGGAGTCTTCTTTGTATTCACATGAGAAAGGAGTTTTCTTTGTATTCACATGAGAAAAGAGTCTCCTCTCTCTTCACAGAAGATAGGAGTCTTTTATGTCTTTGCATGAGAAAGCAGTCTTCTGTCTTCAAATACAGGAATCTTCTATGTCTTCCCATGAGGAAGGAGTCTTCTCGGTCTTCACATAAGAAAGGAGTTTTTATGTCTTCGCATAAGAAAAGGGTCTTCTTTGTCTTCACATGAGAAAGGATTCTTCTTTGTCTTCACGTAAGAAATGAATCTTCTGTGTCTTCACATGATAAAGGACTCTTCTCTGTCTTCACGTAAGAAAGGAATCTTCTCTGTCTTCACGTAAGAAAGGAATCTTCTATGTCTCCACATGAGAAAGGTGTATTCTATATCAACGCAAGAAATTAGTCATTTATATATTAACGTATCAAAAGAGTCTTTTATAGAATAACCTAAGAAAGTAGTCTTCTATGTCTTAACGTAAGTAACATGTCAATAGAATATACAAACGTAAACGTAAATAATCTAATAAATGTTTCCATTGTACCATAATGTAAATAACTTATGAAATGTGTCTTCTGTCTTGGCGTAAATAACAGAAAATAAGCGTCTTATGAAGCAAAGTAAACATGCAAAGGTGTTTCAAGATCAGGTGATCAAGGTGTAAAGCAAGGATATGCCGTATCAGCTATCAAATTCTGTACATTTATCGCTGGGATATTTTCCTAAATTGAAAGTGAATGTCAAGCAGGCTTTTCTATTCGTGACCACCTCCATTCAAATTTAATTTACGCAGTTGATATTGCTGTTCCCAACAATTTACGCATTGGCTTACAACTATTTCTTGATATTCTAACCAGAAGTGCAGCTGAAGTTGTACATTTGATAAATGCGTATAAAGTCGAACCAAACCTTCAACTAAAAATCTATGGCGAATGAATTAAACAAGGATCTGTTTTCGTATACCATGCGAGAACGGTGGAATGATTCAAAATAGAATTAGTTTGGGGCGGGCTGCCTTTGTGAAGAACAAAATTGCTCTATCATCGTTACTTTTTTACTTGTGGTACGCTATAAACGGAAGAAAACGATGCCTACACGATGGCGTTAAAACGTACACGAATTGACAAACATTGACTTATAATCATGGTACACAATCCCCGGCTCCCGAGCGAATATTTCCAGCTGAGGCAACAAATAACTCAGGTTAGTTTCCAATCCGCTGCAGACTGAGAAAGCAATCAATAAACGTAAACGATATTAGAAAAATGACTGATTTGTTTTTCTTATCAAACATCTTCAGGTTATTTAAAGCTAGAAAATAGTTTTAAATTGTAAAATTTTTAAGATAATAATTGTTTAGTGATAAAAGTCTCACTAATTAACCCATAGCCGGGGGAAGAGGTGGAGACATAACTTTACCAAGGGTATTTGAACGTGTTCAACTGGAATTGCAACTCCGATCTCCGATTCATTATAAATTAAACCAGTTGCACATGCAACCTTACAACACTTGGTATTCCCAAACGGTCACTCTTCTAGCTACTGACCAGGTATAACATTGCTTACCTTCGGTGATCGTACAGGAACAGGTGTTTCAAGATGATGTGGCCGTAAGCTTGATATAACAAAATATTCTTCTATGCCCTGACATAAATTCTGTTCATTTTTTTTTTGCCACTGTCTCAATCAATACTTTTTGTTGGCCGAGAAATACTTTTTTTATATTATAATCGATGATTTCTGTTGTCTTAGTTTTTCTAGTAAAGTTTATATTATTCAGTCATATTAAGTGTAAATATTTACTCGCTATTGCTATCATTGTCAAAACGTTTGGCCTTTATGCTCTTCGACCTGCTTCAAGTATTTGTTAACTTTCAGCAAATTTCGAACTGAACAGTTTGTTTTCTTATGGTTTATTGACACTGTGTTGGTTAATCAAAGTAGAAATGTTTGAATTGTAATAAAATTTGTTTACTAGTAAATAATTCATTAAAAATGTTTTTGAGAATAACAATGATTTTACACGTACAAGTCTCACAATTTAACCAATAGATTGGGGATAATTTGGATTGTGTGCAACTGAATGTAACGAACCCGGCTGGAATTCAAACTCCGCTTTCTGATTTCGATCCGCTATCCATTCCACCATCCGCACATCCAATTCTAGATCTGTGAGCCCTGAGATAAATATTAGTTTTTAGTCATTTCAAGATTTTGTAAAGTATAATGACTGTGCTTTATAACCATGAGTGGCCTGACCTAGTAACGGGTAGCGTCATTGGGTAGCTGTTAGGAGTGCGGAAATTAGATCAGGCGAGTTCTAGTTCCAGCCTAGTTTGTTGGAATCAGGCTTTGCCAAAAGTATAACCCATGTTTTATCCCTACACTACAAATTATGGTTTAATTCGCAGAGTAATATCAGAAGGAGATTACTAAAATTACTAGAGCACACAATGAGGAAAGATGGCTTGGAAATTTTGATATTCACAAGAGATAGACTAAAACAGCGCATAACATACCGAACGAGTTTGTTTAAATGGATAGTGCCTCACGGTCATGTCCCGTTGAAACACCGGTTCTCATACTATCACCAAAGTTAAGCCACTTAGAGCTTGTCCAATTAGATGGGTGACCGCTTTGAAATCTAAGATGCTGTAAGCTCGGATGTGTGGGTGGTGTAATGGATAATTGGAAATCGGAGAGCCGAGTCCCAATTCCAGATCGTTATATTCTTATACGGGCAAATATTCTTGGATCCGCACAAATATTCTGATTTCTCCACGTCTCCTCTCTCCAGCTAAGGGTTTATTATTCTGACTTGTATCATTAAATTCTTATTATCTGTAAAAGATTCTTACAATCTAAAAACATTTTCAGGTTTTAAATAACCTGCAAAAGGTTGATAAGACGTAAAAAATACAAATCAAAAAATGGATGGCAAAACAGAGTTTAATAGAGATAGCAAAAAGACAAAATTTACTGTCATATATCGTACCTACGAACACTAATGGGTATGTATCAATTCTCAGACTTTGGACACTGTTGTAAGTGCTGGATAATATGCTGTCTAAGTAGTTCACCACTAGCAGTGGTTTACCTAATACACGCCACTGGCGAGTATTGTACTTTTTTGAAGTTATAAAGATAACTATTTCATTTCCAACCTCCGTTTTGGTTATTCAATAACATTTTCTAGGTTACAACATTTACTAAGAGCTACAAAGGACAGGAAATTGTGGAGTGTCATGACTGATAACCTCCTGAAGGAGAGTGGCACAGAGGAAAAGATGAATTTTAATGGGCAACAACTCTAGAAAGAAACCTCTGAATTCAAAACCATTGAGAAAAGAAAGGTAAATACTGTAATATTTTTTCTCGAGAAGCCATGTTTATTTACACATAATGAAGAAAAGGAATCTTTGGAAGAGGCTCTGATCGTTCAAAATGTCCTAAAGGATCGGCGCCATTAAACATTATTCGTCTTTATTTAGAAATTTACTTCAGATATCTTATTTGTTATCATGACTCATTTTTCAGATGAATCGGTTGAACTGTTGCCGAATATTACTGCGACGTTTACTAATAGGATTAACATATTTACTATGCTTTAATGAAACTCATTCTTTCTAGCCTGTTGAAATTACCATTCGATGTCTCACTTCAAAACACCCCCCCAACGCCTATCCATTTCCGTCGGCGCTGTTGTTGTCTCTAAAATGTGTCTCACCTACTCTCAACTCGTTTGCGAATTGTCGTGGATCGGTGATCGCGCCGACGGTGACAGTTGTAGAAAAGTGAATCGATTTATTAAGCGAGCTGCGAGGGGTGAACTATGCGGATGCTTATGACGAAACCGGGTAAAGGCTGAGTAAGAAGGACTGAGCCGGTTGTCATGGAAATGAATGTTACTGTGATGTGTAGTGACAGAGGTGAAAAAAATCCATTAATGTTGCTTGCAGGAATCAGTAATAGTTGTAATCGTGATGGATATAGATGCAGATAGTTGTGCAGACGTGCGTTAATGTAAGCCCTGACAATAGTAATGCTATTAATATTGCAAATATCGTTAAAGGAAAATCAAGGCAATGGCAGTTAAAGGTCATATTAAGGAACAGAATTCTTTTTTCTAGATAAACATTAGGCATCGTATACAATGTAGTAACAGTAATATGTAAATCCCGAGGCAAATAAAACATAAAATCAACTGAGTAAAAATAAAAATATTGGTTTGGAACAAAAGTTTCTGGGATAATCTCAAAGAATTTGAAAGACGATATATATATATATATATATATATATATATATATATATAGAGAGAGAGAGAGAGAGAGAGAGAGATTTATTCAGCTACGTGTATGCCATTTTCTTATATTTCTTTCGCAATCTCTGAAGCAGGTTCATTATACCAACCAGCTAGAAATTGATGTATTCCTTCATGATGAATTCTGGTCTAAGTGGTTTTTACAGACTTCCAGAGAATTGAAGGTGTTTTTTTTCCATCGAGAGGATTCTGTATTGATTAAAATAAAATGTACATTATTCAGACTATTGTCCTCGTCATTGTCGCCCTGTTTATCACAACGCTTCGGCCGTTGCACGCTCCGGCCTTCTTCAGGTGATTGGAATGTCGAACTGAACCCTTTATTTAGCTCACTGGGGTAGACTGTTCTAGTTCCACGTGTCATGTCTAATGGATGTCAGTTATATCCTGTTAATTCCCCTCTGAAAGTTATCCACTGCCTTAACCTGGTATTGAACTCACATTCTTTGGGTACTGTCACTGGATCTAGCTAACGCCTTTATCCACTGTGACATGTGTCAGTCTACACTAGTCTTTTCTGCCTTCCTGTAGGCGTTCTTTTTTCTAATACTCCTTAAATACAATCATACAATCAAACTCTTTTTCTATGTTCCTTGTCCCTTTCGGGCGTGAGAGATTACAGCTTCGAGTTTATTACTCTACGTAATTGTTCTCGCTTTCCTATCGTTTGTTATATAAAGTTTACTTACTATTTTCCGTTGCTTCATATATATATATATATATATATATATATATATATATATATATATATATATATATATATATATATATATATCACTTCTTGTTTGTGGAACTCACTTCCGTCTTACCGCTTTTCAGTCAATTTTGACCTTAAAAAATTTAAATACAATATCAATAGTTATCTTATGTATTTATTTTTCTTTCTCCTTAATAGTTTTATTTTTCATTCTTTTGTACTCAGTAACCACCTTGCATCTTAGTAGCTTTATGGCCTTGTATGGAATGAAATGATTAAAAAAAGAGCGAAAACGGCTTCTGTTGGCATTTTTAGTGTTTGAGTGGGTACAGTAAAATATAAAGCAAAAGGAATTATAAAGCCATTGGTATGCTGAAATCCACTACTTGGAGATGTCCACGAAAAGTCTTAAATAATGACTGTACTTATAATTATTTGACTGTATGTGAACTTTTCCGCGTCGCTCTTTTACGTCCTTACTTCATCATCGAACTAAATTGATGTTTATGTTGATGCGACTACACATGCGCACGAAATACAGGAGACGCTGTCATCATTAGTTGAACGTACTGCAGAGAAAACTGATAGTGAATATGTTGAAACATTTGGAGATAAAAATATATTGATGATAATAATGATTAATAATTGCTTAAAATAATATGCCAGAAGTGTTAAGGCTGAAATTTTTTTATTGTATCGTTATGAAATTAAATACAGTCGATATCAGAGATTTGATTTATTTGTCATATAAACTGCTTTAAAGAACTATAGTTTCGGGGCACATCATAAAAATGGACTTACTTTATCTTCGTAAAGAATTACTCACGGCATTGTTTTGTTTTTATTAATTTTGGTAATAAAATCTTTTGTCCCCACAATATTTGGCCAGTAACTTTTTTTGTACAGAAAAACACGAAGGAAATAAACATTGGGAATCGGAAAATGATTTCTAGTTGAACACAACAGAATAAAAGCGAATTCATGGAACGTCAGTTCCTATCTCATTTATTAGTGCCTTGCTATTTTATAAGCGGTTTTATGTTTTTTTTCTATTATTCTTAGATTCCTATTGTTAAATTTCTAAAATTGTTCATTGTTATTAAACTGTCCATTCATATAACGATTTCTTACCAGTAAACAATGATATTGTTACATTTTATGTTAGATTTTCCTAATTTATTTGTTTCCTAATAATCAAGTTTCGAATTTCTTTTAGAATGAAATTGCCTTTTACATGTCATAGCGGAAAGCCTTACTAATTTGCAGTACAGTTCAAAAGATTGAAGATGATTATATTATGGTACTAAACACTATCGATTCTTGATTTCTTTTTCGATATTTCTGATGGTGATAAATGATATTAGTGATAATGGTGGTAAAAAGTCCCTTATCCGTCTTTCTATTCATTTATTTGGGTTCGATTTAGATAAAAATAATAAAAGTTGTTGCTAAAAAGTTTTCAAACCAACCAAGATTCTTTGGAAAAACATGTTACTCTGAAGTGTTGCTAATTTGGACAATTTTAAGAAGTGAGTCGAGATTAAAACTTTGCAGCCACTCCCCTAAAGTTTTTATTTATTTATTTTTTTTTTATGA